TATTAGCTGGAGTGTGGCCGCCTTGTTGCGCGATGTCGTTGTCGTAGGGCGCACGCGCCGGCGATCCATGTCGCTAGCCATGCTGACCATGAAAACTGGAAAGAGTTGCATGGATTTCTGTTTCTATGCATGCATGTGTTTCTATTCTTCTAGTTATGATGCTCTGCTAATAATACTAGATTTACTAGATTTATGTACTTTAGCGAGCGGAAAAGTTATGTTTTCGTTAAAAAACTCTACTTTGTATTATATTACAACGCTAGAACCGTGACTGTAAAGCAAGGTTTTAGAAATATAAATTGATTAGTAGTTTAATTAACATGTATTCCTTCACTGAAGCAATACTCACCTCAGGATGTTTAAAGTAAATCTCTCTCTGAAGACTCAAACCAGACTGATCAACCTAAGTGGATGACAGGATACCTCATTTCCATTTTTTTGTTATAAAATGCACTGTGCCAATTAGTCTAGGGAGTGGAAGGGAGAGTTCAGAGACTGGACTATACCTGTGTCGATTTGATGCATGTTTTGAGTTAGTGGATGAATGATTGAGTATCACTCGCTCAGATTAGAGCTAACATCAAGACCAAGACAGGATAAAGGTAATACATAGAGCTATGCCTTTATACTATCAAGCTATTTTTAGAAATGGTACCCAGTTCTCTGGCGGATGTCACCACGCGCGTTGCGTGGGTAAAGCAGCTTGAGTTGTCCACGCGAGCCAAATTCCAGTCACCGGATTGACCATTCCTAGTGATCTTAACGGCATTATTTTGTGAATAAGGTCTTTATGGTGGATTACACTCCATCCTCTCTTGGAGACACCGACCACAAATACCTTTCTATGAGAAAAGGATTCTGACGGCACAAGGAACTTCTCGCTATGATGTTATTATACTTTTGTTTTAACTGAAAAATATTTATGCTTGACATCTGCCCTGAGAACACGACATGCTAATCAAGAGAGCTCATGTCGTTAATCCAAAAACATTATTACGATAATCACGATCGTATAAGAACGTCAATTAAATTAATTGATTAAATGACGACTGTTACAGGCAAACACACATACCTAAAAGAAACCAACACAGCACGTATTTGGGAGATATCAGACAACTGAACTTAAATTTACACCAAAAACACCATTAGTCAGTAATTGAAGTTGTGCATACCTTTATCAGGTGTTTGGTAGAATTGAGATGATCATTTGTCACTTCAACTGAGAAGAAAGGCGGTGCAGGATAATATGAACTCTGCAAACGTTGTAAAACCTCATGAATGTCCCAGGAAGACTTGTTCCAGCTTCCATCTTGACAAATGTTCCAAGAACCTATCTGGTGAATGAAATCCAGCATGGGCTTTGCTCCTAAAGTTTCAATCTGTTTTTCGTCCATGCACGAGCGATAAAAGTCTCTTGTTTTTAACAGAGCCTCATTTTGAGGACCATCATGTGACATGTTTGATGCTTGAAGAAGATCACGGAGTTCACCTTCAATTACTTTAGATAGTTTTGTAAAAGTAGAATAATCATTATAACTTTTAGGAATTGGATTTCGCCGAATCCAACCGCCACAACAAAATGTAAAAAAGTCATCGCATGGATTAACCGAAGAATCTATTGAATTCCTAATGTACTCTGCAACTGTACTACATTCACGAGTTTGACATATGTTCATCTCTGACTTGGTCTCACTGTGAACTTCTGAAAACATATACACAGCGCGTTTTTGTTCTTGAGTTGAGTCATTAGAGTCATCAATGAGGTGATTGGCGATCAAAGCCAACAGAACGACGGTACTCAAACTTAACAAGGTTGGTACGATGACAGACCATCTCACTACCATGATCCAATGTGTATCGGACCTGTTCCTCTTGCTCCTAATTTAGCTAGATTTGTGTAACGTTATAATGTAAGGTCTGAACAGATTCATTGTATCAAGCCACTGACCAGCGCAAGTAGATGATCTTTGCCTTAAATGTTCGTGACGTCGTATTGTATATCTAGTAGTTTTGCTGGAACTGCTGAACACCTGTTGATCGGACCATACCTGCTATTATGTTTGTTTTTTAGCAAGTGCTCTTGTCAAACACCTGTTAAGATCTTCCGTGATCATCAATTTGAATCTGATAAAGGTAAAACAACCGCAGTAGCAGCTCGACAAAGCTGACGTTTCGATCATAAGGCGAGCGTCGGACCAAAAGTACGTTTGCTCCAACGAAGAGCTAGCGCTCCAAAAGTCGGGCTTCGAAACGAACGACTAATGGCTGAAATATATTCGTATTTTGCCTATAAGTAACACAGATAATTACGTAAAGGAAGTTTTGGTGTAAGAACAACGATTAAAATATCCTGTAAACAATAACATGTAACTGTTGTTTGTCAAAGATTCAAAGCTTAGCAATATGATTCTAAATCTTTCCTCAAATAAACTGCTCCATTCTTCAAAAATTACGTCATTGTTTGCAAATCACGTTTTCATGAAGAACACAAATCCTCTGCAATGAAACCGATTTAAGTAATTTTGAATTTGAGTTAAGCATGGAATTTAATATCTTAGCTTATCTTGAACTGAAAGCCTTTAATGGGTGGATCATAAAAAAACAGAATGGGGGATAAGAAGAGCTTTTCTCTATGCTTCATTAGATAGATTTAATTCAAACTTTAGTTTTTGCTTGTTATTAAGGTTTAAAGACTACATTAGAATATTAAACCGACTGTTGATTTCTTTTTGGTTACATCAAAAAGCCGACTGCTATCAATTTTAAAGCCGGGATGCCCGGATTATTAAAAGTCTACGTAGTCTTCTAGGATATATTCTAAATAACTTTTTACTCGTCGGTTTGATCACGAAAGCCTCTCTTTAGACAGGAGAGGAGAGATATAGTCCTTCCTACCTCCTACTATTTTGATGCCCTGCCTTCATAACAGATCTTCACCATTCTATAGAAAAAAATAATCTCTTAATTATATATTCAGCGGTAGGTAACAAAGAGGACGTATAAACAACCTTCAGTATAGGGGGAGAAGGTTGGTAATGAAAACCTTCCACGCTTCATTCAACTCTCACTATGAACACCACGCACAAATTGTGCCGTCTACTTCATTTAGTTAAAAACTTACCTCCCGCTCTAGATTACAAACAGTCTCTCTTCTGATCTAAAATCCGCGAGGTCAGTAGTCCAGTAGTTTTCTTGCCTGAATGTAGTCATTATAATTAACAATTACATTATAAGCTCGAGATTTCTATCGCTATTTCTATTGTTTTAGTTTAAATCTATTAGTCTTTCAGACTTAAAAAAAATCCTTTTCATAAACACTTCGAAACGACAAAGAAGCGTCCACTGTTTTTTTAACAACCGCAAACTGCTAGGCTGCTCACTATCTACAGCAGAATAGATAGTGAGTAGCGTAGCCAATCGGAGAACGGCGTGGGTGACAGAAGTCAAAGCACTCTAGTAGACCAGTCTGCTAGTAGACTATATTACCGCAGAATTAAATTGCAAATTTAACCAAGCCTAAAAGCGAAGGTCCTGATGGCAATAATTAACCATAAAGGAAAAAGAGGATTTATTTTTCTTGGATCAGAAACTGAAAAAATTATCAATTGCGAGCATGTAATTGTTCAGCTTGTGGTTTGACTATATTTTCCAGTTAAATTTTAACAAACTATACCCACTAAGCGTACCCGAGATTGTATAAATTACGAACGCAATATATCAGAGACTTTCCAAGAGACGATTGTGCAAGGAATATGTCGGAATGTAAGGGGTTAATTAATGAGCAAAACAATAGCTGTGTACGTGCGTTACAAATCTTCAGTGTACATTTCTTTGCCGTCCTCTGCAAAACAACAACGTGAAATGACAGTGTTCTGCGTCGTATACTGGACGTGGACGACGAAGGCTAAATTTTCGTATTTCCATTTGGAATTGAACGCCGTCGTTGCATATTTAGCTTAAACACGTTTTTAGAGCCATTTAGAGCCATTGTTTACTAGGCGTCGTCCTCGGCGTCGTCGTCGTTGCTTAAGCTCCCAGTTAAGACTGGGGTCTACCAAAAAGCGCAGATTCCGCTCATTTGCACTCGAGCTTAGATTTCTAAAGAAATTCCACGAAACTCCCTTCTATATGAATCAGCAAGCCTTTTGTGCATTTTTTGTTCTGAGGCAATGAGAAAAGGTGAGTTTTTCAGGGTTGAAAACAAGAATTCAATTTCGCGCCATGAATGGATAATATCTGCTCGCGCAAGTTGTACGCGTAAGCTTCTACATTTCTTCTAACTTATGACATAGTAGTAATCAGACATTAATGACGTGCATTCGATACCCGGGGGAAGGAAGGGAGTACTCTTGGAATTTGCCGATGGTGTGTATTGCTGGAAACATGAAATGTTTGGGTTAAAGCAGAGGATATTTAGTTGGTATTTGGGCATCTGATTGTAGGTTGGGTACCAGAAATACCTTCCCTATTAATATTCCATAGTGTAAATTTAGCCTTTTGCCAAAAACGCTTTTTTGGGATATTTTGGACATTTTCAGCCTGGACATGAGCCAAATTAGCTGCAATCTACTCAAAAAGGCATTTTTGACTTCACAGCTTGCCTTTCTTCCACTAGCATCGCATTTTATGACACTTTTGCTCGGGCATGCGCAGAAACAAAAATTTTGAGGTTTTTGGACGAGAAAGTGACCTACGTCATTAGGCTTTTCGTTTTTCAATTTTTTTCGCCTTTCTTTTTTCAACTTTGGTTATCTTTCTGCTGCAGCGATTGACCTTCTACTGGGCTTGCTTCTAGTTCAAGAATTACCGACAAAGCATCATCCAATCTCGTTCCCAGAGTCTTCGCTCCCCTTGACCATCGGTCGGAAAACGAGAGCTCTGGGAGCAACCATTTTGAAATAACCGAATTCTGGTGATTCTGCCCATTCGGTTTCACTGCTTTCACTGCGCAGTCTGCATCTATGACGCATGCCTGAAATGGTTGCTCCCAGAGCTCTCGTTTTCCGACCGCTGGTCAAGGGGAACGAAGACTCTGGGAACGAGATTGAGCATCATCGTGACGAGCAATTCTTACCGTGGAGTAGCCTAGTGTAGTTGACGGAAATTTTGCTTCGAGTTTTAACCCAAATTTCTGAGCATTTTTGTGCATATTTCAGGCTCCATTGACCCAATCACTCTGATCTGGGTATCACTGGAAAGATCTTTTCACCTTGCAGAACTTGAGCTTAAGTGATGCCAATTTTGGTCAAAGGTAATGACGTCAGAGGTGGAACAAAGGCTAACGCTCTTCACAGACGGTTACAGCCGGCACAGGAGTCAATGGGTTAATAAAAAATAAGAAACTCCATTCCTTTTATACCCAGATCCCCGATTGTGTACCTAAATCCTGATTCCTATACCCACAGTAGACTGCTTGAAAAGCATACCCTTGACAGAAGCACATACTTGAGCCCATTTATGCCATTTCCTTTCCAGGATTCGGCGAGTCGAGTATTTTTCGGAGTATTGCCATTTATTGGCATCAAATGTCACCTTACTCTAAATACTCTAAACGCATCGTTTAGTAAAGGTTACGTACTGTGTATAACTATATAAAAGAATAACAGTACATTACACTTTATCTCCAAATATGAACGTTTTTAACTTGCATGTCAGCTTACATCAATTAGGGTGGCTCGATAGGAACCAAAAAGTTTGTTTAAATATGGTGAAGAAAGATCAATTGTGTGCCATTGCACTCACGAAGAAGAAATAAATTTCAAAGGCTTTACTAAAAATGGTTGCTATGCCGGCAAACAGCCACACCCTTTTGAGGTTTTAATTTAAAGCATTGATAGCATTGACGCCAACAGTTCGTACACTTTTACAAAGCAAGATTTGACTTTCAAACAAGCATATCTTGTAAGTTTCTGTTTTCTTGTCGTTCTATGCAATAAACTAAAGTTTTGACAGTTAACTCTTGTTTTTAGTGCTTTTTACAGGCTTTATTTGCAAATAACCTTGTTTTGCACCACACCCAGCTGACAAATTATCTAGTGTCACGTGAAAGAAGTTAAAAGGTTACGATTTTTTTACTTTATTGCCTTACGACACTATTGGTCTTTGATTACCCCAAGTTTAGGGAATTTCTCTTAAATACTTTCCAAAGTAGAAATGTTGGCGTGACGTCAGTGGGTACAAAAGCAGACATTTAAGAAAAATGGACTTACAACTTCTTACACTATGGATTAAGCATTTAAAGAGCTAGGAAGTGGCGGGGAAAGGTGAGTGAAGGCGTTTTGCAGATTGCATATCAGGGGGGTGTAATAGTTGTTGTATTTTACCGCAGTTGTAGGAAATATTACTTTTTATGAGGGAAATGAATGAGCCTGTGATGGTGATTCAGGCAACGCTTTTCACAAGTAATTACAATTATCGAGTTGTGCATGTCTTAACTGCTTTTAATTTCTACAAAGCATCGTTCATATTTGTTGAAACTGATCTATATTTATGGCCACTTTCTGACTGTAAACAACCGTCGCTATGTCCGTTGCTACGTACAAAAATTTATACCACTGTGTACTTTCCTTGAATTTCACATTCATCTAGAGGCAGATTCAGCAAGATCGTTTCAAAATGCTTTTTACAAGTGTTGAAGGGCTTTAAATCTTATATTTTTTGAGAAAGTGCATTTTTCCTGAACGTCGTCATATTTCAGCCTATCGAGCCACCTTAAGCTTACGTCCACTGATATTCCTTGAGCGGTGTACATTTCCATTTCCTTTTCGTCGTTTCTTGTGCTACGTTAAAATCTTCTCTTCTTTCTCAAAGTTAGTGAAGTGGTGTTGATTTCTTCGAGCTATTAGTAATTCGAATAAATCAACTCAATTTCGCTAATCTTGGAAAAAGCTGCGAAGATTCCTACATAGCACAACGAAAGAAGGAAAGCACATGGAAATGTACGACGTGTGGATAAACTTTCAAAGCAAGGCATCACATTAGACCGAGGCCAAGTGTGCCAGTCGTACAAAGATGGTTTCCAGAGATGGCTTCCAAACCCTGAAATCATCAAACATCACGGAAAATCGCGGGACATAAACCCGCGGGAATAACGGGATTAGATTGCGTTCGACGATAGGAGAACGCAATAAAGCTTATGTAAGAAAACTCTCTACACTGGTATCGAGTTAATTTTTGAGTTTCTCAGAACAAGGCTTAATCATAAACAACATCTGTTTTTTGGGGGGCCAAAGAGAGACTCTAAACCCTAATCTTGACCAGCAGATTATTTATCACACACGTTTATAACAGGGACGTTCAAACCGGCAGTTCGAAATTTTGTTCCTCTACCAAGAACGATCAGAATGCGAAAAATGTGTCAATCAAAACAATTTGTCACATGGGATCGAGGTTTCTGTCACATGGAAGACTGCGTAACGTTTTGCCACCAAGTTTGTGAGAGATTTTTACAGCTTTTTCGGTTCTAGAGTATAGAGATACCTTCGCTTACACCAGAGTGGCACGAGAAATGATAGAAAGTATATCATTTTTCAAGGAAAACACTTTCTTTTCGACAGAAAGCTCGAGTTCACTGACGGGCTTAGCAGATTGCTTCAATTAAGATCTTGAAAGATTATCAATCGCTTAGGATTAAAGAATCAAAGTTCAAGCAGCTCTAGAACACAGTTTTATGGAAAGAAACCGTTTCTATGTCGATAATTTCGAGGATGTGGATTTACAGTACGATTGCTGGCTTAACAGATACCGAGAGATCACTAAACATGCGATTTTGATAGGTTAACCTGCGTTTACCCTTAGTCGATAGTTTCTTATTTGTTTGTTTTTGAAAGGAAAATCTGAAGCGTATAAGTAGCTCATTTGCACAGTGCAGCGCGTGCACTTTTAAGTCAGAGTCGGTGCACAGAGAGCACACAATCTTGTTGGGCAGGAAGAGGGTAAATAAAGGTATGAAAAGAATAAATAGTTTACCTTTGTCTCCTGTAGTGGTTTCTTACGCGACCTTACAGGGAAAACCGCTACCTACATGTCCTGCATAAGTCCTGCATAACATTGCAGCGCTAAACTCATACCTAGGCCTTTTCGCGCTGTGCAAAATTTTTGTTTTGGTTTACATTTAAGAAATAGAAAACATGTACCGTGTCTCTAAGGAGTTTTAGTATAAATCTACTAGCGTTCTATCACGAATGCCGTTCTCTGATTAGCTACGCTACTCACACTTTTTATTCTGTGATAGGTAGTGAGTAGCGTAGCAGTGTGCCCTTGTTAACAAAATGACGGCCGCTTCTTGGCGTTTTCGAAGTGTCTGTGAAGAGGATTTAGATGAAGTTTTAAACGACTAGTAGATTTATGCTAGAACAATTAGATTATTCGCTCTCGATTTCTATGCGGGATAGTTGATTCGGGCTGCGCCCTCGTCAACAACACATGCTTTTTTGACACATCGAATCTCTACAAACCCCTCCCCCGGTTCGCAGTTTTTCTTGTCCGTGGGAAGTCATCCGTATGTCCGCACGGAAACAAAATGTCGCGAGTTAATGCCTGAAGCGTTTTAACGAGATTCGGCGATAACAATTCAGTACCGTAGCGAGGGGAAAAAACTGGCTGAGGGCGCGTGCAGAATCGAGCTAGCCGCTAGGGGGTCACGCTGGAGGCATGTTCCCCGAGAGAATTTTGAAATATAGAGGTTTGGAAATGCTATTGTCTAAGAGCTATTTGTAATTTAAGCGTATCGCGAATTACTTCCTACACTCTCAGCAAGCAATGAAGATTGAAAAAAAGTATAACACTTGCAACGTCAATTACAAAATAACAAAACCGACTGTCTCTCAAGCAAGTGTTTTACCTGTCAGAGACTCAGAGTCAGGTTTTAATTAGTTCGTTATTAAACGGTCTGAGTTGCCTTAGAGGTAGACGCAGACTTCATCGGCATGTCATTTTATGAAAACTTCCCGAACAAGTGCTTGCGCTGGTTGTCCCCCATAAACAATTTGGCGACCTCCACCATGTCAATACCATCTGCCAATTCCACGATTTCTCGTATGTTGTAATTTTTTGGCTGTTATTTTTGTGTATCACCCTACGACGGTAAAAAAAGTAAAAGACGAATAAATATGAATTGGGGAAATGGATACGTAGATATTATAAAGCGGAAAGTTGTGTAATACGACTGGGAGATGAGATTTTATTTTCAACATTTATACATGTCTGTTTTTACTTTTGGGGTAAAAAAAAAAAACTTGGGGGACAACGGCCCCCCCCCCCCNTGGGAGCAGGGGAAGGATTTTGTAAAGATTTGTCCTGTCAAAAAAGCATGTGTTGTGTATCATTTTTCTTGAGATCTGTGCGAGGCAGATTATGTGGGCTATACAGCCCGCCACCTTGTTCAACGCGTTGCTGAACACAGGTACTCGGCAATTGGGAAACATTTTCTTGAAGCTCAGCTACTGAATGAGAGCCATTTTAGTATTTTGAAAAAGCGTCAGAGCAAATTCGATTGGTTATTATTCGAAATGCTTTACATCAAGAAACTCAAGCCTACTTTGAATACCCGGACGGACTCAGTACGTGCGAAACGTTTTGTTTAACTAGTAGCATTTTCTTTGTTACTACTTCTTAATTAGCAACCATATTTGATGTTGAGACCGAAAACGTCGAAACGTCGTCAAGCTTTTGAGCTTTTTTTACCTTTTTACAGCGTTTCTTAAAATATTTTTTCGCAGTTTTTATAGCTAAAAATTTATGTTTTATCTACGAATTTCGCGATACTCTTAAACGGATCATTCACTTTGTTTATCACTGTCAAAACTATTGCAAAACTAAATCCGGAACACAGCGATAAATTTGAAATAATAATTTAAAATAGCCGTCGTGGTTCACCTTCTCCATACAACGCAGAATATGGTCATTCACGTTGTTGTTTTGACGGTAAAGAACATACCAATACTAAACTTTCCAGACTATAGCTATAGTCTGGAAATTTATTTGCGAGTGCAGTTTAGTATTTACTTTAATAATCGTTATGAATAGTGTCCTTTCTACGTAACCAAATTTACTGCGGAGCCACACCTGCATGTGTTTTTGTTTACATGCGAGAGTTTGGCTATTATATTTTATTCAGAGAATGTCAAAAACGAAGGAAATCACTGTGAAACTACTTAAGGCAATTAAACATACTTTCAGGAACACAACTTACAACTAAGCAATAAGATTTCGCTTCGCCATAGAATATCAATATTTTCGATGGCACCAAATAGCGGAGGCTCGCGGAGACTGTCAGCTGTCAAGGGTCTTCACCTTCAGCGACTGTTCAACAGCTGTGCATGCGCAAGTGTTCGCTCCAAGGCTCATTTCGCGCCAAACTTACGGAAATATAGAGTGGGTTTGTCTACTTGTGCTCTTTTTGCTGGCGGTGAGAACCATATCTTACGGAAAAGGGGTCAAAACAAAACTTCAGTGAGCTTAAATTGTAGTTTGGTTTTATTTGTCGTTGTTAGCGTATTTCCCATAAAGGTGAGCATAACTAAAGACAGTGGAATCGCCAGTAACTTGAAATAAGCCGTGTTAAAAGCTTGCCGTGCGTTCGTCGTGGAAACGTATCGTGAAAATGGGATATCTTCAGCGGCTGGAGTTGGAGAATTTCAAGTCTTACAAGGGAAAACATACTATTGGACCGTTCAAGCGTTTTACAGCTATCATCGGACCTAATGGATGCGGTAGGTGACTCATTATTGCCTAGTTTATTGTAGTTTAGTCTCTAATTGCCGGTTCTTTCTTTTCCCAAAGTTATTCTTATTTATGACCGTTTATCCATTGCGAGACTATGGACAACTGTAGCAAACAATGCTACGGACCGTGGTGAACCGTAGTGTTGCTTTCCATATTTTTGTGGTCTTATGCAAGACCACTAAGCTAGAGGCTGATCTTGAAGCGGTGTATGTATGTTTATATAATAACCCAAGTTATTCTCGCATTTTGATATGTTCTCGCCTATGATCTATTAGAGGACAGACGCACGATTGACGTCATAATTTCAA